GACTTTTATTGGCCACTAGCATTGGCTCACAAAGTGTAGTGATGGCCAGAAGTTTTGGCACAACATTTGTGTTGCATACATTTTGACAAGTCAGTTTTTTATTTTGATTATTTAGATTTATTTCTTTTTTTTTAAGATCTCTTTGATAAAGTGAAAAACAGTCATTAGTATTGTCATTAGTTTTAAATACTTTGATTGGCAAATAAATCAGATTTGTTTAAAGAACAGGACTAGCCCCAGATTCTTGATCAGATTACAGTATGGAGAGTTTCATGGTCATGGACCCAAAATGGTAAATTCATGATCTTCAAGCCCTCATCAATGTAGTCTAGTGATGTGGAGCAGCATCGAGTACACAAATGATCACCAAACTGCTTCTGGATCAATGGAAGAAGATGTTTTTTTTAAAAGACATTTTTAGTCAGTCTTTACTCACCATGGGCGTAAAAGCAGAAGCCCAAAAAAACTTTCAAGTTCAAGCACTGATAAGGCAGGAAATGCCATCAGTCAGGATTTGGCTCATAAGCCGATATCCAACATGCCACAGAGAAATCCAGAAGTTATGAAAAAGGTGGTTCAACAGTTTACATTTTCTTTGCATCAATTTGATTTTGTTGCCAATAAAAGTCACTGAAACACATGAAACGCGTGTTTTTGTTCTTTCCCAAATCACAGAAACATGCAAAAAAAAGAATCTAAATAAAAACTGAAGTGACAAACACAAAAAACTGCACTGCCAAAATCTCTGTGCACGACTGTAATTTATTTACTGCATAAGCTGCTAAACTATAAGAACGTCAACTTATAAGTAGAGTTATATTTTATATTATAAATCTATATTACAAAATCATTTGTGTCTAAAACTATAATTAATTTAGTGCATGAGCTCTTCTTTACACTTCCCTCTAAATGCTGCAGATCTCTCTGCTAGAAAGAGCGAGGGTGGCTGATGTCAGGCTGCAGATGGACGTTAAAAAGAAATTCTTTCCATTTAAAGTTCCCAAACAGCTCGATTGCTGTAATTATTTTATTAGTATTAATTACTATTATTATTAATGTGATGCAGACTGTAAGAGCAAACTACTCACTGGGGAGGGTCTCTTTTGGCCAGTTTGCTTCACAGGAAAGATAATACTGGTAAAAACAAATAAGATATAACCTCGCTATTTTTTTCATGGTATTGTGATCCTCGTGTTACGTATTATTTCATTAATAAATATCGTTTCCGTTCATTAAGTTTTTTTTCCTGCTTATTGGAGAGAGTTAGGAAAGATTTCGAATCCAGCCTAATGCTGCCTAGAAATAAGGACGGGATCCCAGTTTCTTTAATATTGTGATGATTCATTTAACACTAGTATTGGATCAGCAATCAGAAAAGCTTAGTAAAGGTTGGGTCGGTGCATCAAATACACTGTCACACAATGGTTGTTTTTAAATAGCCCTTTCTCTACATGAACAATCTCTCTCAAGCTCTCTGGACGGACAAACGAAAGTCGTAGATTTGTTACTAGCACTTTATTCCCCTAATGTGTTGATCGAATATTGTATACTGAAATCTAATATTGTTGTACATATACGGAACTCTGAGCCTGATATAATGATTTTGAAACTTAAAATAGCGTTAGCGTCTTATGAAAAGCCAAATAAAGGCTAAGAGATAGTAAAGGTTTTCACAGCTGAGCACCGTTAAACGAGCTGCTTGCAATTATGAACTCCACCTAACCAATACAAACATAAAACGCAGAAAATAACC